TCCTGCTGCGAGGCAGGGAGGCAACGAATTTAGGAACTGATACGAGGCTGGCTGGTGGTGTGGCTTGAGCATAGATGGGGGACGAGGCTGTGACAAGGGCAGGGTGACAGAGCAACATCCCCAACCGTCCCCAGAGTGATGCAGAGTGGAGCAAACATGCTCAGTCCTCCCCAGCTGCTGTTGTATGGGTGGCGGGGCTGCGGTGGCTGTGTCTGCTTAGGGCTGCACTCAAGGAGATGCTGGGAGAGGGGATGTGCATGTTCGTATGCTGAATACCAAAAGATCTTGCTACAGGTGTGACTGGGACAGTTAACGGAGAGGGAGCTTCCCTTTCAGAACCTGAACCCTTCCTGAGAAGATGGAAGACTGCGCTGAGTTTCTCGCTGTGTTCCCTCAACAGGTCCTGCACTTGAAATTCAGTTCTGAAATTCAGTTCCCCGTGTTTCTGTTCTGACTGGAGCTCTGTCTCAGCTGCTGTATGAGAGGAGGGAGGGAGTCTCCTCGGCGCCTTGTTTTGGTTTAGAAGCATGTTTCTGAAGCTCACTTCCTAATCAGCCATGCTTTCTGTGTGTGGAAAATCATGCAGTGGTGCAAAGCACAGCGACTGCTTTCCTTTTGGACGAAGCACAACTGGCAGACGTGCTCTGGGAGCGCAGCTCATGCACTCCTGTAGCTGAAGGGCATTCAGCCAGGGGCCAGACTAGAGCCCGTCCGCAGCACCCACGCTGTATTTGTTTCAGGGGGCTTGGGGTCCTTGGCTCCGTGTTGTCATCTGCAGAAGCATTCCCATTCACCTTGCTGTTTTCCTGTCGTTCTGATTGGCACTCGGTATCCGTCTTGCAACTGGAGAGAAGCAGTGCGATTTTCATAAGCGGTGTCAGATCTTTGCATGCTCTGCAAAGGACGTATCTCCTTCTCTGATCAAAGGGAACACAATTAGAACAGGTGCCGTAGGAAACTACAATCCATTTTCTCAACAGCCTAAAGTGGAGGCTTCGGAGGCAGGGGGAGCGCAGTTTTTACTTCTGGCTGCTGTTACAGTTTTGTGTTGCGCTCATTCTTTCAAAGTTGCCTCGTAGCTGCCATCTAAAATTGGTTGTATTTCTGGTGGAGAAAAAGGGCTGTTTGAGAGCCCAGAGAGTACCGCAGGCCTGAGCTGGTCACAGATCTGGGTAGAGGATGGAGGTAGGAAGGAAGCTGCTTCGTGCCGCCTGTCTCTGCGTGTGGCCCCACGTTAGTGCAGCTATCTTTGATCTGAACTCTCTTAGCAGGCCAGAATTTAGAGTAAGAAAATACAAGAAATAACCCCAAAAGATGGCAATTTAATTAGCATCTTGGGCCGCACGTGTTCAACTTGGTACCTCTTAGCATGATAAAAGCTGAGATGATCAGAGAATGAAGAAATGAGCTGGGGCTTTCTGTGCAAATGAAGTAATATATTTCTCTGTTACCTGTTGCGATTAGTAAGGTCACTCTGCATTAGTAACAGTTATCTTTCCTTTACCTCCTTTGTACATAAGAAAATGCAGTAATACCCATTTCTCTTCTAGATTAAGAGAATTTAAGATTAAAGCGTCTGTGCTGAGATGGTGGTTCCTCTGCCCTGAACCAGCGTGCAGGCAGACATTCCCTATCACCTGTGTCCCTGAACGTTCTTTGATACCCGGTCTCTGCATTTAGAAAGAAAATCTTCTCTACCTTGCCTTAACAGGCTGGGTAGCCATTATCGGCTTTGGAAGATGTGGTTTTGGAAGGAGCGTTCTAGCTTTAAGTTTACACACGTAACTGTTCCGTCTTGCATTCCATCTTACAGTCACAAATTCCATCCATCGCATCCTACCGTGGTACGTGCACATCCCATGCTCTAGCTGTGTTTCGTCTTTATTTACTCATTGCATTGAGTGGTCGCAGAGAAAAAGAATTTTACTTAAAATTTGAACCATGAGAGCCTGTTTGCTTTGGGACACTTTCCTTGAGCTCTTGTTCTGGGAGTTAGTGTCAAGGCCGGGTCTACGTGCGAAGGCCTTGTGTTGTAGTTATCCCAGCAAGTCCCGGTGTTGGAAGAGGTTGGGTCTGTGGGAGCTGCCTTCTCAGCAGGGTGCATTCCCCTGCCCTGCCTGGGACGGGCGGTGGGAGACTTGGGGACCTGTGCAGGCTGCAGGGAGAAGCTCTTCGACCGTGGCAGAGGTAAGTTAAGCTCTCTGAGCTCCCCCCATGCTTTATACTGGCTCGCTGAAAAAAAACCCCAAAATACAGCACACTTTCAGACTAAAAGGACTTTGCAGATGTAAAAAGGAAAAGCACAGAGGCTTGCTCTCTCGTGCTCTTGGGCTGCATGTGTAGACACAGTACGCTTCCCGCCTCACTCCGGATCTCAGCCAGTATTGTTTTTGTGAGCAGTGACGTCCCAAAATGTTATCTGCTGTGTGTATCTTTACAAAGGAAGCCCTGACTTATGTCATTTGACAATTGACTCTTTTACCAAGACAAGACGTGGTGGCTGAGGTGCGGTTACATGTGAGTACAGGTTATGTGCCAGAGATGGGGGACAGCAAGCACGGTCCACCCGCTCCCCGCAGCAACGGACTCGGAGGGTCTTCCCACTTATTACCTTTTTATCTTTAATCTGACAGAACCTCACAGTGCAAAATAAAATTAATTGGAGGGCTTTTTTCCCAAACATGTTTTGAAGCACAGTGATTTGATTGAAAAGATACAGTCCCCTCCCTAGTTTGTGAGGGGTAGCCAAGGAATTGTATTAAAAATAAGCCCTTATTGCTCTGAAATCCCTTGTGCTTCCTCCCAGAGCCCTACAGCTGGAGAACAGGTATAATCTTTAAGATTATGGGTGAGTAACAGATTACTGTCCTGGGGAGAATTACTGTAAAACTGATTTCATTTAGGTCACGGAACAAAGATTGTCACGCGGGAAGACTTGAGCAAAACTTAACCGTAGCCTGGCCTTCCTGAGGCAGCGCTGAGGCTGGCTGTGAGATGGGAGCGCTTGCCTTCTGCTCGGCCGTTCGCAGAGAGTGGTAGGAAACCTGTTCAAAGTCATGTTTTACCTTGTGCCCTTCCAGTCTGGGTAAGGGAAACGGCTCCTCACCTCCTGCTAATAGCATCCCTAAAATGGACTGCACTTTCCCTTCTGGAAAGCGTTTGTCCAGCCTGTAAGTTTTTTGTGA